TTGTGATAACCGACCAAGAGCAGTGGACAGCTGTTTGGGTCTCATCATCAACAGTGCGAACTATTTGTGCTCCTGTCAGGACTCGAACAGCGATCATTCGGTTCGAGACTTCAAACCCTTGCTCCTGAGCTACACGGTCGACCGGCATGAGCTTGTGCGAATTACTCAATCAAATTTTAGAGTATCAAGCTGGGATTAATCCATTCGATTGATCAGATACACCAGTTCGTCTTGGTGATTTTCAGAAAGGTGGAATTCAAATACGAGTATTCTGGGAGGATAAGTTGGTGACTGTAACTGTTTTCTAACTCTTCAGAGAGAGAAAATGGTTAACTACCTCCCTGTCCGTATGCAACCAAAATGTGAACTGAAAGCCAAGCCGAATATGTTAAGCGAACTGAATTAAATGCGCACTTGTGTCCGAGTCAACAAAATCCCTTTGTTTGGTAAAAAACTATTCTACTGCCGGCCGCTGATTGAACAGTTACGCTCATTTTCTGGGTCCCTATGCCCGGAGAATGGAACGGTAGACGGTCGAACACTGTAAATTTGACTTGAATCTGGGTGTGTCAATTACATGTTCGTTGCTCATCTCCCCGCCCCCCCTTTTCCGGCTTACGCAACTGGGACAAGACTACTAGTGCTTGTGGCGTGGTAAGGCCTTTGACGTACGCGTTCCGTGGTGTTCGGACCTTCCTTGTGTTCGCGCCCTGTGCAATATCGTGCACGTGGACTGTGAGTGTTCAATCTGTGTCCAGCGTTCATCATCAGCAGTGAGTGCCACTACTATTCAGGTCAGACGACGTGTGTCAGGGTCAGATAGTCTTCCGTTGAGTAAAATAATTTCACAGCATCGTTCTAGCTGTCTGGGGCACGTCCTATGAATGCCTGAGCAACGTCTGCCACACCGTGCACTATTCGTAAACATCGGTCCAGGCTGGAAGAAACGGTGAGGTGGGCAGGCTATGACGAGAGGCTGATGGTTAAAGAGATTGTGCTCGGATCTAACCTGTGTTGGGGCTTCCCGGCTGGGGTCTCAAAGATTCAGATTGTCTTTGACTGGAGAGACTGCGGAATACGGCATCGAACGGGAGTCAGTGGCGTGAATGTATCCTTTCCTGTGTGCGATCTCAAAAATAAACAAAAACGAAACTTAAAATGGCGTGTAGTAAACAAACAAAAAATTGTTATTACCCCAAGTTGACCGTTTTTTGTTGTCCCCGCTTCCATTCCTATTTTTCGTCAACCCCTGGTTAATTTGGTACCGTATCTGTGAAGATTGGTGTTAAATATATACTATTGTGTTGTGTTGTGCTATTTCGACTCGTGGTTTGGACATGCTGTGTGGCTCACGCCATTTTTGTGCAATCGTATCAGTGTGCATTATCTGTGTTGTGTGTGTGTGTGACTTATTCGTGAGTGATCGTAAAAGACACAACACCCCCCGCATGCAGTTCTTCATTCCCTCATCTATTTTCACTTTAATTCGTACGACTGGAACACGNAATAGCTGTGTTATAATAAGCAGCGTTATTCACCTACCGGTCAGGTTGAACACGGAGAAGTCAGTCATTGGCAATCGAATAATAGTTAATAGTTTGAAAAAAATCAGACAAAACGAAAATTAGGTATCGAGATCTCACCATAGATTTCGAGCTGCCCGACCAATCCGCGAGCCCGTATCGGAGGCAATCCGACAGAGAAACGAGTACTGAACACTGGGCACAATCTGAGGATAACGAGGTGGAACAGTGAGATATGTAGCTGTAGAATTTAAGTTATCCATTTGTTATATAAAGGGAATGAGAAATTTCGTTCATGAGCTTTACTGCGATCGATAAAACAGTCTTCCAAAGCCTCTTCATGGTTAGGAGTGGGTGTCTTGAGTAACGACTGGTCATCCTTTACTCGCATCTGAGAGAATGCTCTTATGAGAGGAAGCCTTACTCACAGCCTTCTCGTGGGGTAGATACTTACCCGCCAAAGTGAGAGAACAAACGCCAAATCCGCGGTTATGACCCGAATGCTGAACCACTGGTCATTCAACTACTAGAGTCGGCTAGAAATCATGATTTCAAACCAACCAAGAGGCGTTTCAACCACAGCCGCATCTCACTAGTTGAGGTAATGGTCGCCGAATCGATTGAGCATCGATAATTATTGCACGGTTATCTCCGCCCGATGAGCTGAACACCGGCCCCCGTTGATTGCAGTTTTCCCACAACGCCCCGTTGTGGGTCAGGCGTTGGCTAGCTAAAGGTTCCGGTTGTGAATTCTCGAGGAAAACTCACGCGTTTTGGCCGGGGCAACCTGATGATAGTATTCGGCAAAAACAACGAATCTTTGACGGTTTTATTCGTTTCAAAGATTGGTTTGGAATACAGTCTTAACCCAGATACGTGATATATGTGACACACAACAATCGAACCAGTATATTATTTCTCTATTGCACACCAGTGTGTGATAAACAGTAGATGGGATAGACCCCAAAGTCACGAAGATCTGCTGTTCAGTGATGGTAACCAGCAATCTAAGCCCGGGAACTTGAAGTGGCGAACCACAAAAGACATGGTATTCATCATCATCGTCCAGGGAAGCGAATTTGACTGATCGCTACCAAACTCTCAATGCATATGCATTGGAGTTTGATGGACGGGTACTGCTAGGGTGTCCAGACACTAAGCAGGAGAACGATTAGGGTTCTCAACCAAAGCCTTTGGTTTTGACAAGAACCTAGCTGCAAGGTAGCGGGTGAAGCAAAGTGAAGGCCCATTCACTTGAATCAATTACTCCTCCACCAATTTTCACCGACTTAGAAGCAAATTCCAGTCGAACCCCCAGTCTGGAGTTTGTCTGACCTCTAGCCTCCGACCTTCTAAACATGTTTAGATCCTCGGCTTGACAAAAACCATCCTGTGTAGCTAGTTGAGTCATGGAGGTGCACAAGCCATCACACCTCGTCAAGGTGTAGTCTCGTCGTGATGGAGCATAGTATTTAACAGGAGGACAGCAAAGCTGTCTATCATCCATATTTGGCGGCGGTGGCGGATCTAAAAACCCCGGACCATAGGGTCCAAACAAAGCGGGTGACGGCGAATAAATCACTACCAGTTTGGTG